TAAAGACATAAAATGATCTATATAACATACAAACATACCTCGCTGGCTGACCCATGCTTTGAGGCAGAAATGAGCACTTTACAGATACTTTTAAGAAACAACTTTCTCAGAATTAAATTGGCTTCTCTTGCTTCAACTTGCCATGCTCACACATCAACATGGGCGTGCATCTCCCTCAGGTGCACCAGTGGAACCAACATGCAGTACAATAGTTCCTACATGAGAATTTTCACAATAAATGACCTAATGGCATATAAAATATGCATAGTGCAAAACAAAATACATTAACTGAAAGTAAGGCAGTAAAAGTGTGTGATGCACATGAATATAATAAAATACAATAAAGTGGCTCAGTTCACAGCATGCTAAGCTATTGTAGTCAATTCTCTGTGGAATATTAAGCAGAGTGTGTCATGTTTTGTGTGATGATGATGTAAGATTAAATAAAGCAAAATAACCCCAAAAAAAAGCCCCAAAGTTTAAAGTTTATCCTCTTTTTTTCATTCCAGGTATCAGAGACAAGCACAGACAACCAATTTGAAATTGAAACTGTGAGAGAAGAAATCAAAGAAGCTCTGCTGAACAATGACAAATCACTGGCTATCACAAAGATCAAGGAGTTACTGGACAAGGAGAGGAACACTCCACTGAATATCGCCATCACAGGAGAATCTGGCTCTGGGAAATCCACCTTTGTTAATGCCTTCAGGGGCATGGACAACAGAGAGGAGGGAGCGGCCCTGACCGGTGTTGTAGAAACCACCTCAGAGGTCACACCGTACCCCCATCCAAACTATCCCAAGGTTACTTTATGGGATCTCCCTGGAATCGGCACCACAAAGTTTCCAGCTGATAAATATTTGGAGCGTGTTGGATTTGAGAAGTTTGACTTCTTCATCATCGTCTCAGCCGATCGCTTCAGAGAAAATGATGTGAAACTCTCTCAGGAGATTCAGAGGATGGAGAAGAAGTTCTACTTTGTTCGATCAAAGATTGACAACGATTTACGAGCCGAGAGAAGAAAGAGAAACTTCAGCAAAGAGGAGACTCTTAGGAAAATGAGGGAAAACTGCATTCAAGGTGAGACTGATTTGTGTGTTCATCATCCCATACCAAAAACGTTTGTTCACCAAAGCTTACTGAGAGAAAGCTGCTTGAACATCACCATCCAGGGTGATAGACGAGGTACAGCCCAGACAGGAGGAGGATGATTGTCCTGATGATGGTGACACAGCTGCTGAAGAAGTCAGGCAGATGCTGGATAGATTAACTTTGTTATAAGGAAACTTTATTATACTTATTATAGTGTTTGGGAGGAGCTTGCAGTCTGATATCGTCAGGTGATTTTGTATTAAGATAGTTCTCGATGAGCTTTAGTCACAGACGTCAAAATCATTTTTGTTGCAGTCGGTAGCTTAAATGTTACACATAAAGTGGCACAGTGTATTTTAAAATATAACTATATAATAAGCTTAATAAGGAATATATTGGAACAGTAAGCTATAAAATCACCAATATGAAAACACAACTCCAGTCTGTATGTGGTGGCTTACACAGTTACACTATGAGTTCAAATCCTTTACACATGTATGAAGTCAGTCGGCTCACTGAATCTGCTGAAAGATAAAATGCAGTTTTAGATGTTTTTATTATTTTGTATCTTATCATCATACTGTGTGTTTTTTCTGTGCCAGGACTCAGAGATTTAGACGTCGAGGCTCCGCAGGTGTTCCTGGTGTCCAGCTTTGAGCTCCACCTGTACGACTTCTCTCTCTTACATGAGACCTTAGACAGAGACCTTCCTGAACACAAAAGACATGCTCTGCTGCGCGCCATGCCCAACATCAGCCTGGAGATCATCGACAAGAAGAAAAAAACTTTCAAGCGCCGATTATATTGGTTGTCCGCTCTGTCTGCAGCTGTAGCTGCTGTTCCAGTTCCTGGGCTTTCTATTGCTGTTGACATAGCGGTGCTAGTTGGTGCTGTCACAAATTACGTCTTTGGGTTTGGTCTTGATATCAAGTCTCTGCAGAGACTGTCTGCCAGCACAGGCGTGCCATACGCCGATCTGCGTGCCGTCATCGTTTCTCCACTGGCTGCGGTGAAAATATCGAAAGAGCTCCTCCTGAAGGTGTTGAGCCAAATTGCAGGAGCAGCTACATTTATGGCACTGGAGGAAGTTTCCAGATTCATTCCAATAGTTGGAATCCCGCTGGCAATGGTGTTCTCTTTTACCACAACTTACAGACTTTTGAATTTCATCCTCAACCAGCTTGCTGAAGATGCCCAGAAGGTGTTCAAAAAAGCTCTGGGTCTGAACACCTCAGTGTGATTTAAATAGTTAAAGGCGATACAGTGACACGTTTAAAACTGAAGGGTATGAAATAAAATTCCTAAATCATTGAATATGCAGTGAATCCAGCTGTAAACCAGCATCCTTACAGCTGATCAGTGCATCAGAGGCCTCAGCAGGTCTCATGTCCTCAGAAACAACAGAGGAACCTCTCCCACCTTTACACATCAACACAATAATGTGGCCTTTATATCCATCCATCCTGCATCCATCCATCCATCCATCCTGCCTCCATCTATCCATCCTGCCTCCATCCATCCATCCTGCATCCATCCATCCTGCCTCCACTCACCCATCCATCCATCCTGCATCCATCCATTCTGCGCAGGTGCGTCCGCCCTCCCTGCATGGCACCGCAGGCCACGCCCCACCACACATATAGTTAGGGCTGGATCAGGAGACCCTGAAGTTACGCTGTGTAGCAGGGGTGTGGTCTTTGGCCCTGCTGCAGTGGAGGGGTGGTGCAGCGGGCTCGAGGGGCAGTGCCAGGGAGGTTGAGTCAGGTGGAAGGAATCACATCGATGAACTCTGTTCCTTCTTTAATGACGCCGAGGACCGGCGTGCAGACAACTGGAAAAATGGCCACAGAGAAATCAGAGGTGGCGAGCTGGAAGCACTGTGTGTGCCATAACGTTAAATAAAAGAAAGAAACAGTTACAGAACGCTGTGTGGCTCTGAGTCTTTCACACGCTGGAATAGCTGTAGGCTGCTGGGGGATTCCCATGATGCACTGAGTGTTTCTTCTTCTGTATAAATAAAACTTTAATTGAATTGTTGTTAGATTTTCTTTTCTCCATTTTTGGTTTTGTGCTGCATTCTTTTTTCTCTCCTTTGCATCCTCCCACAACCAATCACAGGAGAGAGTTCATCCTCCCCGATTCTAGTTCTGCTGGAGGTCTCTTCCTGTTAAAATGGAGTTCTTCCTCCCCACTGTACCAAAGTGCTCCTCATCATCTGATTGTTGAGGTGTTCTCTGTAACATTGTAGGGTCTTTATCTTTTAATATAAATTTCACTGAGCTTTTCGTGAGTTGGTGCTGTATAAATAAAACTGGAGTAAATGTAAACGTCATTATGTCCTTGTTGGTCAGCCACAGCAGGAGGAGACCTGCTTTGTATCCTGTCAATAACACCTCCAGCCTCAAAGTGAAAACAAAAACAGAATGAAGACTGAAGAGTCATTTATGACACATTCTTCTTAATTCTCTTCATCCAGACTCACTGAGTGCAGTGTCTGAGTTCATCTGCTGTAGATGGTGCAGTTTGTCAGTGAAGATATCACTGTGACCTGACTGAATGGTTACCGCCCTGTCATCGAAACTATGATAAGACTCTACATTGTACTTATACAGCTGGCTGTAAAACCAGGCTTTAAGCATTCAGTGTTTACTGTAGCTGATACTGAAACTCTAATTACTCCTACGGTTCATCATTAACTGACGTTTTCCCAATGATTAACTTTCTTTTTCAACATTATAGGACATAATCAGTCTAAGCCACTGCTGAAACCATCAATACAGCACACTTTCTTCACTGAGAGATGGAAGTCAGCTTCAGCAGGAGTCCTGTTACAAGTTGGTTAGATAGTAGAGCCCACAGGGTGAGGAGCATCTCTAAAGTACTTATCAGAGTGGATATTTCACAGTGGATGATGGTAGAAAGACAGATTTACTGAGGAGTCCCAGTCAAACTAACTACTCAGTGGTTATTTGACACAAAGTAGTTATCCTGGAGCCAGTGTGGATCATTTAAATAAAAAAGCAATTAAGCCTCCAGAGGGTCCTGCACAGCTCCAGCTGTCAGAGTCTGAGCCTGAGGGTGTTGCCTGAATCGAGGCCCTGATTTCCAGCACTTAGACTGGACGGCAGACGTCACGCTGGTTTCTCCACTGTCTTTATCACCGGCCGCCTGCCCAGCCCTCAGACGGTCTTTGCCACCTTTGTTCATGGCCTCCTCCAAAGCCCCCAGAGTGAATGACACTCCGCTGATGAACATAACACACACTCAGAAAAATAAATGATTACATTACTGATGTCAACAGGCATCAGTTCACTGGTATTTTGCACAAATGACAGTAAGGTCAAAACCTCCCAGAAAAGCCACCTTTTAACAAATCGATTTGAAATGATTGAGTAAATTATTTACAGAGCTAAAACTGGATTCATGAAGAACATGAATAACACAGTTACAAAAAGCTGGCAGTTCACAGGCTCCAGGAATAAATTCAAATCTCACTATTAACTTAAGTTTCAAGTCTCTGCAGAATCCTGCTTACAGTGCCCTGTGCACTGTGTCTTTGGAGCGGTGATCATTTCTTAACCACTCACAGCTACAGAAAGGACCAAAGATCAGACATGCTTTGCTGTTTTCAGGGGGCGGAGCTACAGGACACACATATATAGGTGGAGGTTCAGAGACCAGTACTCACACTGACTTCCACCAGATCCATCCATCATCAGACTCACTGCTGGGTACAGCTCTTATCATCACTCCAACAGCACGCAGGTAAACCTCCATCATGTGATCACACTTTCTGCAAACTTCTTGCTGCTGTCACATGTCCCTGCTCTTGCTTGGTTTAGAGGGTCGTTCTCGTGTTTCTGTGTCATTAATGCAGCAGATTTCATTCTGTTGTCACAGAGAAAGCACGTACACACCACTTTCAGGACATCTGTGGGTTTGTGGTTGTAATTAAGCTACGAACACGGAAGCTTTACACACACACACACAATCTGATTTTAAAAGTCTCGGTCTCTCCAACTAAGAGAATAAATACTTTTAGATTTTTTTAGATGATTGCAGGTTACCATAAACTTTCTAAAATTCTAAAATGACTGAAGTCACACCTGCAGGTTCGTTTAAAAATTAAAAAGTGTCACAGCTAGTTTTTGTTGCCATATTCTCATTGATCTCTTCTTTCTAAAGAAGTGTTCCTCAGTATCAGACAGCTTTGCTCAGTTAGAACTTCCTGGTTCGTACTTCGCAGTTTGACTCGGGAGTCCAGACTTTCCAGGACGCACAGCTGGAGCTGCAGTGTACTTGATGACATCACAGCTCAGCTGTACCTGTTTTTATTGCCGTTACTCGTTTCACTGTGGTTAATATTTACAATGCAAACTGTGCACGATACGCTTCATTGGCCACATATACACTTCTTCTTCTTCTTTTTAACAAAGGTCAAAACTATAATTTTAAGCACTTTGTTAGATGATCGGCCATAAAAGGAGCATCATGGGAGAAAATGTGGAAATAAGAAATAACTGATTTGTTCATTAATTTATGTTGGAGCGATCTTTAAATGGGATTTAAAAAATTGCACAGCGCACTGAAATAAATACTGAATAATCTACAGACATCTCAGTAACTGTGCTTTATGAGCTAATATGAATCAGCACTGACCCGCCTTCAGTCTTATTCATGTTCTTTACTAGTTTTCTTCTAACATCCATGTTTATGGTCTGTTTCATGTCTAAAAGCCTCATATTTAAGCAAGAACAGTCACTACATGACTGATGATACACTCACAGCTTCTTATGGAGCAGCATGTTAAACTAGTTTTATTTTTATTCCAGTGGCCTCCCAAAACTTAAAATAGACATATTCCAAAAATTGGGATTCCACCTGAAAATCAACTTTAAAGATTGATCTTTAATCCGATCATAATGAATGACTAAATTTAAATGTCAAATTAAAGTAGCTAAGTACAAATTCTGCAGTTCAAGAAAAAAGTCAAATTTTCCACATTTTTCTCCTTTAAGGATCAGCATGGAGGACCCAGATGACTTATATATGGAAGACATTCCTGGAGTTAAAGAAGCCCTGCAGAACAACGACACTGCTGCAGCAGCTGCAAAGATTCAAGAAAATTTAAAACAACAACATAATATTCCACTAAATATCGCCATCACGGGAGAGTCTGGGGCTGGTAAATCCACCTTTGTTAATGCCTTCAGAGGACTATGTGATGATGAGGAGGGAGCTGCTCCTACTGGTGTTACAGAAACCACCTCAGAGGCCACACCGTACCCCCATCCAAACTATCCCAATGTTATGTTGTGGGATCTCCCTGGGATTGGCACCACCAAGTTTCCAGCTAAGAAGTACCTGAAGCTTGTTGGATTTGAGAAGTTTGACTTCTTCATCATCATCTCAGCCACTCGCTTCATGGAAAATGATGTGAAACTGGCTCAGGAGATTCAGAAGATGAAGAAAAAGTTCTACTTTGTTCACTCAAAAGTTGACAACGATATACAAGCTGAGAGAAGAAAGAGAGACTTCAGTGCAGAGAGAACTCTCAAAGTAATCAGAGACGACTGCGTTCAGAGTGAGTGTCTTACTTACACTCACAGCTCAGTGGGAGCACTTTATGGATTCACTTTAATATTTGGGTCTTAACTTTACATTATTTGTTTTTATGTGTGTAATCATGTTAACATGTTCCTTCTGTGAAACAGGACTCGGAGGATTAGGGTTCGAGTCTCCGCAGGTGTTCCTGGTGTCCAGCTTTGAGCTCCACCTGTACGACTTCAATCTCTTACATCAGACCTTAGACAGAGACCTTCCTTCAAAGAAGAGAGATGCTCTGCTGTTCGTCATGCCCAACATCAACCCAGAGATCATCAGGAAGAAGAAAGAAGCTTTCAAGCGCCGATTATATTGGTTGGCCACTCTGTCTGCAGCTGGAGCAGCTGTTCCAGTTCCTGGTCTTTCTATTGCTGTTGATGTTGCTGTTCTGGTTGGTGCTGTCACAGATTATGTTTTTGCGTTTGGTCTCGATATCCCGTCTCTGAAGAGACTTTCTGACAGAACAGGTGTTCCCTATGCTGATCTGTGTGCTGTCATCTTTTCACCACTGGCTGCAGCAGAAATAACTACAGAGCTCCTCTTGAAGGTCATGACCCAAGTGGGACGCACAGCTACATTAATGGCAGCAGAGGAAGCATCCAGATTTATTCCGTTTATTGGAATCCCAGTAGCCATGGTTCTCTCTTTCATCACAACGTATAAAGTTCTGAATGCTATCCTCAGTGAGCTCGCTGAAGATGCTGAGAAGGTGTTTGAAAAAGCTCTGGGTCAGTAAAACTCAAATGAAGCTTACTGACTGTGTGCTGTGTGTAAATTCTCCCAAACGACTGAATCCAGGCACGCGTTTAGCTCACAGGTTCAACATGTGACCTCATGTGTGGCTAAATGCAGAGTCCTGGATTTGACCTCTGACCCTGATGTGTGTCTGCTCCA